CCCCAAGATGGCTTGGACTCAGCTCCACCTTCTGATCCATTGATTCATCTACTCGGCAGATCTATCACTACTTTCATTGTACATGGGGGCTACTACAGTAGCTTTGTTTATATCATTGGAGTTTCCAAATTAGACCAAATAACCAAGGTGCAAAAATAATACCCAGAGGCCTGCCTGATCATACTTAAGCAAAATTGTGTTTATATTATACTCTCACAATACACTCAGTGAAGCAACATTGTACATACAGGCTCAGCCACATCTAAACCAGAAAGTCCTTTGAGTCCTTTCTCCTGCTCTTTTTTTTTTTTTTGGGCATTGAAGAAAAAAGTTTAAGTAGCCAATAAATATGGACAGAATTGTGGCCTTCCTAACTACAATGTAAATCCATCATTGATTCTTTGTAGCAAGCATCCTGAAAGAGTATAAGCAAGATCTGTGTAGATGATGGAGCCAAATAATCAGGGACCAAAGTGAGAAAGAGTAGAGATCTTTTGAGAGCCGGAGTGACCCCATTTCCATTAATGTAATTACAGAGAGAATGCTTGGGTCAGAAGGAGAGCTTAAATTGAATGCTCAAGTTAAACACATCAGGTCTCTAATAGTACAACACGCTAAGGTGATAATGACAAGAAAAGCTAAAGGTGTTGGTGAGATGGGAGAGCGTAGGTGTATTAAATTGAGAGTAAACAAAGAGAAAACTAGTATCAATCAATATTAAACAGGAACAAGACAATAGCAGAGTCGGTGGTGATAACGTCACTGAGAAGACGGAGTAAATGGACCTAGAGGCATGCACTGAAGACTGTGGGATGAACCACATTCGCAGGAAGCTGCCGGAAGGGAGGAATGAGAAATCAGCACAACTGCATCTGTTTTCCCATCCTCGGGACTCTGGGGAGCTCCATTTGACAAAAGTGCTCACTCTCTCTGATGTTTGCGGTCAGCATGTGGGAAGCGGGAGCTCACGTGTAAGTAACTGCAGCTGAAGAAGTTGCAGGTTGTTTGACCTTCTATGCAGATATTTTAAGGGGTTGTGGAGACTAAGCAATGTGAGAGCAAACTGAAAACCTTTCTGGGCACTGCCTTGCCTGCAAGCCAGTTGCAGCATGTTTCTCATCTACGAGGAAGGTGCAGAGACATCCTGGGCTCATGATAACCGCAGGCCTGGTCCCAGCTTTTCGCTAATGGTAGTTACTCTGATGCCGTGCTCGGGAGTGGTGGTCATGGATGAGAACCCATTGTGATAGGTGCTCTACACATCCTCTAAGCTTTGGTTAAATCTTCAAAAATAACCCACGTGACTTAAACGTATAATTTTTAGAAGTGATTCAGGCGCTTGGCTGCTGTGCTTCTACTGAATTAATTTCCTCTCTGGCAGATAGCAGAAGTCTTTTCTGTTTGCACAGTCTGGCTGCTGCCTTCTTCAGCTCGTGGGTGTTGCAGTGTTTTTTTCCTCAACAATATGAAGAATGTGTAGTATTTCCATGGGCAAGATCACCAGGCCTTGGTATTAGGACGTGTTTGGTTGTTCTGCCAGAAGCGTTAATGGCTTTTCTGCTGTTCGTGCCACTCAGATTCCTTCACTGGTACTAGTGCTTTGATGTCAGCTGGGCTCAATAAGCAGAGACCAAAAGAGGGAATTCATCATATGTTTTAATATATTTTTCATGTCTTCATGACTATGAATACAGTTAGTATTTTTTTCTCCTTTCTCTCTCTCTCTCTTTTATCACTTCCACAGTCCCTGGTTTAACTTCAGAGAGGCTGTTGAATCCCTGTCTGTCTATTTTAAACCGAAGACTTTCACTGAGGTGAATGTGGGATTCTCGGATTGAATAACTGATGGTTAAGTCAGGTATTAGAGACAACATCTTGATTCCCTTTCTGGGAGTTGTTGGAAATGCTGGAAAAATCTTTTTATGATGTAGTTAATGTAGATATAAGAATTCATTTGATATCAAAGGTTTTGCAAAATGTTCATGTTAAGATCTAGTTAACTAAAATCCAAGGTGGTATATGAGCTACGCAATTTCAAACTTTAAGTAGTATTGAGTTATTAGAAAGAGAACAGTCTTCTAAGGAAATGGGTTTTGTATTGTCATTGGAACAGACTACAGTAAAGCATTGAAAGGTAAATGGACCTTCAGTTACAAGAGTGAAGGTGCTCGTCTCTGAGATTGAATGAACTCAGTATATGGCTCAGCGTTTTTATACGACAGTGCAACATACATGCTGCATCTTGGTAATATGTTGCATATGTGGAAACTTTATTTTTCTTTAAGCTCAGCATATTCTGGGGATGCTTCCACTGCTTTGCTTTGAGAATGTTTGGAAAGAGATGAGGGAAGAAATCATCCCTGAGAGATCGTGCAGCCGTTAGTAGGCAAGCTGGCTCTCTGGCTTCTCGGATATTTATCTCTATTTAAACCCCCTGTGAATATTGCAATACAGAACAGCTGTTACTTCTAGGACTGCAAGTATTTTTGATCTGTAATCACCTTTCCAAGTCTTTGGTGATTTTTCTAAGAAACCTGAAAAGCAGGGGGAAATTATCTGTTTAATTAAGTAGTTAGTGGCAGACACTGGTATAACTGGAATACCCAGGAATTAATTTTTAAAAACAGATTCAGTAATACACAGAAATAACCCCAGTGGCCCTGCCAAAAAGAAAACTAGCATGTTAAACTAATGCACCACTGTCACTGATGTCCGGTCAGTTTGACAGGATGCTGTGCCGTGACACGCTTTTCCTGTGGCCATCCTCTTCATCTCATTTTGGTTTATTCGGAAAAGGGCTATTAAAATCATTTTCTCCTGCTGCAATGACGGGTTCATCCCTCTGCTCTCTTTTGCTTTCATGTGATGTTCAAAGTCCAGTGTAATAATATTTCTTCCTTTTTGATCTGTGATCTTGTTTTATCCCAACAGTTACTCCGTGTCTCAGCCCGCGTTCCTGTGTCTGTGTTGTGCATGCTTGCTTTTTCCACCCCTGGTTTTATGCTCCTGGTCAAGCGTAAAACTTTCTTGCCCTCTCTCTGCCAGAAGACCCCTCTATCTTAAAGCCTGAAAAAAAAATCCTTTGTAGCAGAGGCAAATATCTCCTTGCATAAGCAGATCCGCTCTGTGGTGGCATTCCCCAGATGACGGCCTGAATGACTGCCTAATGGTCACCAGTCAATTGGCCACTTCATTGTGGTGAAACAGTAAGCTGAGGTGATCCAAACAGAGATCTTTTGCATCTTGGCTGCTTTTGGCTTCTTTACTGGATCTTGCTTTTGTGACGGTGTGGTGTATGGGCTCAGATAACTAGTGAGAGTGGCAGAGGCACTTCTTTCTTTTTTTTCTCTCCTTGCTGTGGTATGCTTGTTAGTTCAGTTATGCTCAGATAATCCTTCGGGCTTTATCTTTGCCGAGCTTGGGGCAGAAGTAGTGCCGCCTTCTTCTCATGTTTATTGCTTGCAGCACATGTGATTTACACTTCTTGCAGCTGAAAAGTACTGGGATTTACACACCAAAGAGATCTTAATTTTTTCAATATTGTTGGTCTAAAGCAGGCTTGGCCAGAGCTGCAGGCAGTGAGGACGGCGCTTTGCTGATTGCTAGAGGCCAGAGCAGGAGAGCGCAAGCCAGGCAGGGATGACTCGGTCGCAGTGAGTGCCCTGCTCCGGGGAAATCTGGGGTGACGTGTCCAGGCCTCGGCTCTGCGCGGCGCAGCTGTCCCCAGCCCGCCTGGGAAGGAGAAGCTGTTTCCTGAGCAAGAGCCCAAGTCCTGCCACAGCGGTGTGGTTTTGGGCAACCCAAAGTACAGGCTGCAGTGACGCAAACCGCTGTCGCGGCAGCACAGGGGACAGAGCAGGAGTTAGGGTGAAGTGTGGGTGGGCTGCCCTCCCCTCCCTTTCCCTGGGGCCCCGGGCAGCTCCTCGGGGGGAGGGCAGCGAGGAAGCGGGAGCTCCCAGGGGAGCTGGGCAGCCCCGGGGTGGAGGGGGGTGAGCGCAGGGTGCTGCGGGGCAT